GCAGGGGGGGATATGGGGTGCTGTGGGGACGGGATATGGGGTGCCATGGGGACGGGATGCCGTGGGGTCTGGGTGGGGACAGGGGTCAGGCTGGAGCGGGGACTGGGGGGGACACGGGATCCGTGGGGCAGGGGCAGCCCCCAGGAGATGCCGTGTGGGGAAGGGGGGGTGCCCCGTCGGCGCTGGGGGTGCCCCGAGGCCCCGGTGACGGGCGGGTGTCCCCAGCGGCGGGGGGCGAGGACTGCCTGTGGTACGTGGACAGGAACGGGGCCTGGCACCCGGGCTTCGACTGCCCGCCCTTCAGCTTCTGCTGCGGCACCTGCCACCAGCGCCTCTGCTGCCACGACCCCCTGCGCCTCATCACCGAGCGCCAGCAGCGCCACTGCCTCGCCTTCAGGTGACACCGCGGCCACCGGCGGGGGGGCTGGGACTCGGGGGGGGGGGGGGGGGGCGGGGGCATGGCCCTGGGGCAATGGGTGATGGGTGGTGGGCCTCAGTGATGGGCCTCAGACATGGGCAATGTCTGAGGTGGTGGGTGTGGAGCCATGGCCATGGGTGATGGGTGATGGGTGGTGGGTGTGGAGCAGCAGCCATGGGTGATGGCTGATGGGCCTCGGTGATGGGTGGTGGGTGCTGGGACTCGGTGATGGGTGGTGGGTGTGGAGCCATGGCCATGGGTGAGGGATGTAGAGCCATGGCCATGGGTGATGGACGATGGGTGCTGGGACTCAGTGGTGGGTGGTGGGTGCGGAGCCATGGCCATGGGTGATGGATGATGGCTGATGGGCCTCGGTGCTGGAACTCGGTGGTGGGTGGTGGATGCAGAGCCATGGCCATGGGTGATGGGTGATGGGCCTTGGCAATGGGTGCGGAGCCTCGGTGGTGGGTGTGGAGCCATGGCTGTGGGTGATGGGTGCTGGGACTCAGTGGTGGGTGGTGGGTGTGGAGCCATGGCCATGGGTGAGGGATGTAGAGCCATGGCCATGGGTGATGGGTGATGGGTGCTGGGACTCAGTGATGGGTGGTGGGTGTGGAGCCATGGCCATGGGTGATGGGTGGTGGGTGCTGGGACTCAGTGATGGGTGGTGGGCTTTGGTGATGGGTGCTGAGACTCAGTAATGGGTGGTGGGTGTGGAGCAGCAGCCATGGGTGAGGGATGTAGAGCCATGGCCATGGGTGATGGATGATGGGCCTCGGTGGTGGGTGATGGGTGCTGGGACTCAGTGGTGGGTGGTGGGTGCGGAGCCATGGCCATGGGTGATGGACCTTGGTGATGGGCAATGGGTGTGGAGCCTTGGTGGTGAGTGTGGAGCCATGGTCATGGGTGATCAGTGATGGGACTCGGTGGTGGGTGATGGGTGCGGAGCCATGGCCATGGGCGGTGTGTGATGGACCTCAGTGATGGGCCTCAGACATGGGCGATGGGTGCTGAGCCTTGGTGATGAGTGCTGAGCTATGGCCAGGGGTGATGGATGATGGATGATGGGCCTCCGTGATGGGTGGTGGGTGTGGAGCCATGGCCATGGGTGATGGGTGCTGGGACTCAGTGGTGGGAGGTGGGTGCAGAGCCATGGCCATGGGTGATGGGTGATTGGGTGTGGAGGAGCAGCCATGGGTGATGGATGTAGAGCATGATGGGTGTAGAGCCATGGCCATGGGTGATGGATGATGGGTGATGGGCCTCGGTGCTGGGTGCTGGCACTCGGTGGTGGGTGCGGAGCCATGGCTGTGGGTGAAGGATGATGGGTGATGGGCCTCGGTGATGGATGATGGGCCTCCGTGATGGGTGGTGGGTGTGGAGCCATGGCCATGGGTGATGGGTGCTGGGACTCGGTGGTGGGAGGTGGGTGCAGAGCCATGGCCATGAGTGATGGGTGATTGGGTGTGGAGGAGCAGCCATGGGTGATGGATGTAGAGCCATGGCCATGGGTGATGGGTGATGAGTCTCAGTGATGGGCCTCAGACATGGGTGATGGGTGCGGAGCCACAGTGAAGGGTGATGTGACTTGGTGATGGGTGCTGGGACTCGGTGGTGGGTTGTGGGTGTGGAGCCATGGCCATGGATGGTGGGTGATGGGCATTGGTGATGGGTGGTGGGTGTGGAGCAGCAGCCATGGGCGATGGGTGATGGGCCTTGGTGATGGGTGATGGGTGCTGGGTGTGGAGCAGCAGCCATGGGCGATGGGTGATGGGCCTTGGTGATGGGTGATGGGTGCTGAGCCATGGCCATGGATGGTGGATGATTGGCCTTGGTGATGGGTGATGAGTGCTGGGACTCAGTGGTGGGTGGTGGGTGCGGAGCCATGGGTGATGTGTGATGGGTGCGGAGCCATGGCCATGGGTGATGGATGATGGGTGCTGGGACTCAGTGGTGGGTGATGGGTATGGAGCCATGGCCATGGGTGAGGGATGTAGAGCCATGGCCATGGGTGATGGGTGATGGGTGCTGGGACTCAGTGGTGGGTGGGTGTAGAGCCATGGCCATGGGTGATGGATGATTGGTGATGGGTGTGGAGCAGCAGCCATGGGTGATGGGTGTAGAGCTATGGCCATGGGTGATGGATGATGAGTGCTGAGACTCGGTGGTGGGTGCAGAGCCATGGCCATGGGTGGTGGGTGATGGACCTCAGTGATGGGCCTCAGACATGGGCGATGGGTGCAGAGCCTCGGTGATGGGTGATGGGTGATGGGACTCAGTGGTGGGTGCTGGGACTTGGTGGTGGGTGGTGGGTGCAGAGCTATGGCCATGGGTGATGGATGATGGGTGCTGGGCTTTGGTGATGGATGATGAGTGCTAGGACTCAGTGGTGGATGGTGGGTGTGGAGCCATGGCCATGGGTGATGGGTGCTGGGACTCAGTGGTGGGTGGCAGGTACAGACCCATGGCCCCATGGGTGATGGATGTAGAGCCATGGCCATGGGTGATGGGTGATGAGTCTCAGTGATGGGCCTCAGACATGGGTGATGGGTGCGGAGCCACAGTGAAGGGTGATGTGACTTGGTGATGGGTGCTGGGACTCGGTGGTGGGTTGTGGGTGTGGAGCCATGGCCATGGATGGTGGGTGATGGGCATTGGTGATGGGTGGTGGGTGTGGAGCAGCAGCCATGGGCGATGGGTGATGGGCCTTGGTGATGGGTGATGGGTGCTGGGTGTGGAGCAGCAGCCATGGGCGATGGGTGATGGGCCTTGGTGATGGGTGATGGGTGCTGAGCCATGGCCATGGATGGTGGATGATTGGCCTTGGTGATGGGTGATGAGTGCTGGGACTCAGTGGTGGGTGGTGGGTGCGGAGCCATGGGTGATGTGTGATGGGTGCGGAGCCATGGCCATGGGTGATGGATGATGGGTGCTGGGACTCAGTGGTGGGTGATGGGTATGGAGCCATGGCCATGGGTGAGGGATGTAGAGCCATGGCCATGGGTGATGGGTGATGGGTGCTGGGACTCAGTGGTGGGTGGGTGTAGAGCCATGGCCATGGGTGATGGATGATTGGTGATGGGTGTGGAGCAGCAGCCATGGGTGATGGGTGTAGAGCTATGGCCATGGGTGATGGATGATGAGTGCTGAGACTCGGTGGTGGGTGCAGAGCCATGGCCATGGGTGGTGGGTGATGGACCTCAGTGATGGGCCTCAGACATGGGCGATGGGTGCAGAGCCTCGGTGATGGGTGATGGGTGATGGGACTCAGTGGTGGGTGCTGGGACTTGGTGGTGGGTGGTGGGTGCAGAGCTATGGCCATGGGTGATGGATGATGGGTGCTGGGCTTTGGTGATGGATGATGAGTGCTAGGACTCAGTGGTGGATGGTGGGTGTGGAGCCATGGCCATGGGTGATGGGTGCTGGGACTCAGTGGTGGGTGGCAGGTACAGACCCATGGCCATGGGTGATGGGTGTGGAGCAGCAGCCAAGGATGATGGATGTAGAGCCATGGCCATGGGTGATGGGCCACAGTGATGGGTGATGGGCTTTGGTGATGGGTGCTGGGACTCGGTGGTGTGTGGTGGGTGTGGAGCCATGGCCATGGGTGATGGGCCTTGGCAATGGGTGATGGGTGTGGAGCTGTGGTGATGGGTACAGAACCATGTCCATGGGTGATGGGTGTGGAGCCATGGCCATGGGTGGTGGGTGATGGGCCTCGGTGGTGGGCAATGGGTGCTGAGCCTTGGAGATGGGTGCTTGCCTTTGGGGACATGGCCCTGGGCACTGGGTGCTGGGCACTGGGTAATGGTCCTGCTACCGGGTGCTGGGCACTGGTACCAGGCACAGGGCACTGGGTGCTGGTGCTGGGTACTGGTCGCTGGTACTGGGCGGTAGTACTGGGAGTCAGTGCTGGGCACTGGTACTGGTTGTTGGGTGCTGGTACTGGGTGCTGGGCACTGGGTGCTGGTGCTGGGCACTGGACACCGGTACTGGGTACTGGGCAGTGCTACTGGGCACTGGTACTGGGTACAGTGTGCTGGATGCTGGGCACTGGTACTGGTTGCTGGGTGCTGGTACTGGGCACTGGTACTGGGTGTTGTTGGTGGGCACTGGTACTGGGTACAGCATGCTGGGTGCTGGTACTGGGCACTGGGCACTGATACTGGTTACTGGTGCTGGTCACTGGTGCTGGGCACTGGTACTGGTCGCTGGGCAGTGATACTGGGCACTGGTACTGGTCACTGGTGCTGGGCACTGGTACTGGGTGCTGGGCACTGGTACTGGTCACTGGGCAGTGATACTGGTTACTGGTGCTGGGCACTGGGCACTGATACTGGTTACTGGTGCTGGGCACTGGTACTGGGTACTGGGCAGTGATACTGGGTACTGGTGCTGGGCACTGGTACTGGGTACTGGGCAGTGATACTGGGCACTGGGCACTGGTACTGGGCAGTGGGCACTGGTACTGGTCACTGGTGCTGGTCACTGGGCAGTGCTACTGGGCACTGGTGCTGTGCACTGGGCACTGATACTGGTTACTGGTGCTGGGTACTGGGCAGTGGTACTGGGCACTGGGCACTGGTACTGGGCACTGGGCAGTGATACTGGTGACTGGTACTGGTCACTGGTACTGGGTACAGTGTGCTGGATGCTGGGCACTGGTACTGGTTGCTGGGTGCTGGTACTGGGCACTGGTACTGGGTGTTGGTGG